AGCTGGAATTGCAGCAAAAGGGGGTCCTACAAAGTATTTACTCCGGGGGGCTGAATATAAATGACGCCACACTTTTCACTTATGTATTTAATTTTTGAAAACCATTTCTCATTTTCCTTCCACTTCACAATTATGTGCCACTTTGTGTTGGTCTATCACATCCAATCCCAAAAAAATGCATTTACATTTTTGGTTGCAACATGACAAAATGTGGAAAAATTTTAAGGGGTATGAATACTTTTTCAAGGCACTGTACAAAAACATATAGAGCAAAAAATGATGTAGCGCTTAAAAAGGAATAGATAAATAGTCTGATAAAATTAATAAATCATACTAAGCACATGGTCAGTACAACAAAACAACACACTCTTTAGTATGTGAAAGGAGAAAATAGTGCGTAATGGAACTAGATATGTGAGGTCTTAAACACATGTGAAACCACTGCACACAGTGCACATATAAAAAAAAGTCCAGTGATCCGTATCACATCCCTTCCGCTCATGCAAAGTCAATGGAATGTGTATAATCCCACACACCCCGAAGTGAAATCCAAAACCGGCTGAATTGGCCTCTCACCTCCTATCTGCGACACTGCAGGGCCACAGAGCATATACTATCGCCACTGGATCAAGATTTCCTCTTGAGTAGATGACTTGAAGATATATCCCCAGTACACTGATTCCACCTCTCCTATAATATCCTTAATGGTCAGATGAGCAGGATGGATCCAAGGCCCTTGCTGCTGGTCACCTTCCTCTGTGATACCAGAAAGGATCTGTAAACATCCACCTCAGTCAGCTCTCAGAAGCACCCTGGGTTTCAGCATTCTAGCTTTCGGGTCGCACACCCATGGCCTCCTGGAAGCATAAGCCAAGGAGACAGCTGCTTTTCCTGGCTGGAACTCTCTTCTCACAGAAAGAGGAATAGAGGTCATGTGTTTAAGACCTCACATATCTAGTTCCATTACGCACTATTTTCTCCTTTCACCTACTAAGGAGTGTGTTGTTTTGTTGTACTGACCATGTGCTTAGTATGATTTATTAATTTTATCAGACTATTTATCTATTCCTTTTTAAGCGCTACATCATTTTTTTGCTCTATTTGTACACTTTATTAGATCTATTGGTACAGGATCAGATGTTAGCAGCTACAAGTGTATATTCACTGATTATTTAACATAAGAGCACAAGTAATTTTGTATATCACTGTACAAAAACATGTCCAATTTGTTAAAAATGGTAGCCCCATCCCTCAAATTTGCAGAAAATACAACCAGGCCATAGCTTGTTGAAATTTTACGAATTTCTAATTGAAGTACATCTAGGGTTTTTCTTTGTAATTCTGTCCCCTTGTAGAGAATTCCTATCACTTGCTAGACTGGAGAGACATAAAAAGAAGTCTGACACAATCTCTCCCAAGTGATGGGAAATCCAGCATTGTACAGATGTCCCCAATGGAAAATTTCCTCTCTTTTCCTGCTCTGGTGATCAGGGCCAGGTCAAGGAGTTGACTTAAGAGGTGGCTGCCTTGGTCATTTCAGTAGGAGAGGAACATAAAAACCTATGGTTTTGAGGGAGTTCATAGCCAATGGAGGAGCGTACTTTGGCTCTTTTTGCCTTGGATGCTAAAGGACATTGTTCCAGCAGTGCTGGTGACAACTGTAAAATATTGGATTTCCGATCACTAGGTGACAATGGTCAGAACAATAGGCTTTGTGGGCTGAAAGAGGCACCAACAGGTTGTAAAGGGGTGGACTATGCCAGTGTCCTGGTGTGAGGTCAGGTTCAAAGACCAGTAACTATAGCAGCAGACCAACCAACAAGATAGGTAAATAAGCAGGTCACCCTGGGAAATGACGCAGGCTCACCTGAGGTGCGGGGTCTAAGCACTAACTGGTATTCACCAGAGCTCCTAATGGTGGAGATGGATTTTGCTGTGTTTTAGTACCAGGTCGCAGTTCTCAGGATCACCCCACCAGGAAGTGAGCAAGCGAGGATCCAGTAGCAGATATGGTAGGGATCTAGCAGAAGCGTAATCAGTAAACAAGCCAAGGGTTGGTAACAAGCTGTAGCAGGTTGGGATGATGCAGAATTGTAGTCAAGGAACAAGCCATAAAGGTCGGTAGCGAAGGTATGGACGGCAGCAGGAGAGACAAAGCAAGATACTGGCTGGAGAGCACAATAATCTGGCAAACAGGAAGTGCAGAGACCAGGCTTAAATCAGGAAGTTCATGGGAGGAGAAAGGGGTTCAAGATAAACAAGGTCAAGGTAGGATCATCCAAATAATTGTCAAGGGGGCTGTCCAGCATTCCAGGTGGCTCAGCAAGAAGAAACATTGCCCCTCACCGCAGAAAGCCCAGGTTTGGACCCAGGCTCTGACAGCCAGGTTGTGAGCAGGGCCACTCACCATAAACATGGGGTACCTTTTGGCTTATGTGAGTGTGCTCATCAATACCCGGGATTTTCAGATGAAGTCAACCTTATGGCGACACTCCAAACTAGAGATGAGCCGTACACCGTGTGTAGTGACTAACTGTGCCACGTCTATGTAGAGTATGCTGTCCTGTGTCAGTGCACACCCTGTCTGTGAGTTATTGCATTTAGGAAGGACACCGTTGAGCCTATGCCCTTTCCACCCGTCCAGCGTTCCTCTGCCACCTCAATCCCAGTGACAGAATGGGGTTCCGCCATGGACCTCATGCATGCACTTGTTAATACATTCATCCCTGTACTGTGCCGTGAGGCTGGGCCTCTGTAACGTTGGATATTCCCTGTTTCTCTGGTATAACCGACTGTTGGGGAGAGAGCCAGCACACTGACCCCTCGCTACTGGAGGACACCTCACCCAAGCCAGGTACCACTCTTCATGACAAGCTGCTCTTCACTTTACACCAGTCCTTGGTTACCCATTGTGTCTGCTCCTCCACTCCTGCCAAGTAAACCCTTGTAGTGGACTTACTTCATACCCCATATGTGCTTTGCTGGCCCTAGTTCTTTCATATACCAGCAACCGGTATTCACCTCTTTTAAAGTAACTCCCTCCCAGGGGCGGACTGACAACTCATGGGGCCCCCGGGCAATAGGGGATCATGGGGCCCCTATGTCCTTGCCCAAACTCAAAAAAGCCTATGAAAAAGGTACCAAGGGCATCTCATGGGGCCCCCTACTGACCCCGGGCCCTCGGGCAGTGCCCGAGTTTCCAAATGGTCAGCCCGCCCCTGGTTCAGACCAGACTTAGAACAGTTTAGGCAGACGTGTGCAGAACGGAAAAATGCGTTTACTTTCTTTTCGGGTAGATTCGTTATGTTACTAATTTAATTTCATTATTTGTTTTTGGAATTCGTTTAGTTTTGTTTTGTTACATTTCATTTTCTGACCAATCCAAATTCTGTGTGAAGAATAGCTGGTTATTAAACACGTCCAGTAAAAAAAAAAATAAAAAAATCAAATTTTAGGCCAAAATGTATTTTGCTCTATGTATTTTGCTAAAAAAAAAAATCCCAATACGTGCTCCTTACCCAGAAATGCTAAATTGCGGGGAACTGAGCCAAAAGTGGGAGCGGGTACCTGTCAAAACCAGGTACCCACTCCCCCCCATTAGCCAAAAGGTATCAAATATGGCAGTGGAGGGGGGGGGGGATGAAAATAAGTGGAGCTTCTGCTTTTGAGTGGAACTCCGCTTTAACTGAAGATGCTGCTTCCACCACAGGTCCCTCCATTATATGGCGTGGCCAATGATCAGAATAGACGCATGCTTAACACATGACCTAGGTCAGACAAATATTTCCAGTCTAAACTGTATGTGATATACTGGACTTGTGTGTAGGGAATGTCCGCCCCCCCACTGCAAGTAATATGATTATTATTATACAAGATTTAACAACAGTTTGCTCAGCACTTTACAATATAACGGGAGACAATACAGCAACAATACAGTTCAATACAAGAGGGATAGGAGGGCCTGATCCTGGGAGCTTACAATCTAGGAGTAATATGACCTTTTTAAGGACTTGGTCCATTTATAGTAACATTCCTTTGGTGTGAGTCATCTAAAGTGACCATCCTTGTCTCCTAATTAGATATTGTGAGCCAACAATAATACGGAAATATAAAATATACAATTTCACCATCACTGTGGAGCCAGGAAAGGAGCCAGCCAAGCAGAACGCCTGAAGGCAGCCACCTATCTGAACCAGCTCACAGGAAAGAGACTTGGGCCAGCTAAGGGTAAAAGAGCACTCTGGTGGGAAACCTGATTAGCTCCTTACCCAGGACTGTTCATCTTAAAGTGGAAGGCATTGGATCCCCTTGCCCAAGGATTCCTCCAGACAGCTGGGTAAAGAAAAGGATTTATCTGGAGTCTGGGGTGACTCGATATAGTGAATGCGGGGTCTGAGGAGACCGGATATAGTGAATGCAGGGTCCGGGGAGACCGGATATAGGGAATGCAGGGTCCGGGGTGACACTCGATATAGTGAATGCGGGGTCTGAGGAGACCGGATATAGTGAATGCAGGGTCCGGGGAGACCGGATAGGGAATGCAGGGTCCGGGGTGACTCGATATAGTGAATGCAGGGTCCGGGGAGAGCGGATATAGTGAATGCAGAGTCCGGGGAGAGACCAGATATAGTGAATGCAGGGTCCGGGAGACCGGATATAGTGAATGCAGGGTCCGGGGAGAGCAGATATAGTGAATGCAGGGTCCGGGGAGAGACCGGATATAGGGAATGCAGGGTCCGGGGTGACTCGATATAGTGAATGCAGGGTCCGGGGAGACCAGATATAGTGAATGCAGGGTCCGGGAGACCGGATATAGTGAATGCAGGGTCCGGGGAGACCGGATATAGTGAATGCAGGGTTCCGGGGTGAGAGGATATAGTGAATGCAGGGTCCAGGGAGACCAGATATAGTGAATGCGGGGTCCGGGGAGACCAGATATAGTGAATGCAGGGTTCCGGGGAGAGGATGATAGTGAATGCAGGGTCCAGGGAGACCGGATATAGTGAATGCGGGGTCCGGGGAGATCAGATATAGTGAATGCGGGGTCCGGGGAGAGCGGATATAGTGAATGCAGGGTCTGAGGAGAGCGGATATAGTGAATGCAGGGTCCGGGGAGATCAGATATAGTGAATGCAGGGTCCGGGGAGACCAGATATAGTGAATGCAGGGTCCGAGGAGACCGGATATAGTGAATGCAGGGTCTGGGGAGAGCGGATGCAGAGAATGCAGTGGTTCGGGGAGAGCGGATATAATGAATGCAGGGTCCGGGGAGACCAGATATAGTGAATTCAGGGTCCGGGGAGACCGATATAGTGAATGCAGGGTCCGGGGAGAGCGGATATAGAGAATGCAGGGTTCGGGGAGAGCGGATATAGTGAATGCAGGGTTCAGGGGAGAGCGGATATAGTGAATGCAGGGTCCGGGGAGAGCGGATATAGTGAATGCAGGGTCCGGGGAGACCGGATATAGTGAATGCAGGGTCCGGGGAGACGGATATAGTGAATGCAGGGTCCTGGGAGTGCGGATATAGTGAATGCAGGGTCCAGGGAGAGCAAATATAGTGAATGCAGGGTCCGGGGAGAGGGGATATAGTGAATGTAGGGTCCAGGGAGACCAGATATAGTGAATGCAGGGTCCGGGGAGAGCGGATATAGTGAACGCGGGGTCTGGGGAGACCGGATATAGTGAATGCAGAGTCCAGGGAGAGCGGATATAGTTAATGCAGGATCCGGGGAGAGCGGATGCAGTGAATGCAGTGTCCTGGGAGAGCAGATATAGTGAATGCAGGATCCGGGGAGAGCGGATGCAGTGAATGCAGTGTCCTGGGAGATCGGATATATGAATGCAGGGTCCGGGGAGAGTGGATATAGTGAATGCAGGGTCTGGCAAAAGCAGATATAGTGAATGCAGGGTCCGGGGAGACCAGATATAGTGAATGCAGGGTCCGGGAAGAGCGGATATAGTGAATGCAGGGTCGGGGAGACCAGATATAGTGAATGCAGGGTCCGGGGAGACCAGATATAGTGAATGCAGGGTCCGGGGAGACCAGATATAGTGAATGCAGGGTCTGGGGTTTAGTAACAAAATAGGTTTGGCTCATCTAGGAGGTTACAGAGCTGTGCTACATTTACATTTTGTGGTTGAGGGACAGCAGATGGCAATGCCGACGTAAGGTAATTTATAATTCACTTATAGTGTATTAATTAAATGGCAGAACATGTTTACCATTGGGAAATAAGCATCCTCAACTTGTGGTTTGTGGTTTGGGTCGGTCTATACAGCTGTGTTACAATGAAAGTGAAACAGACAAGCTTAGCATAAATATTGCAGCAAGGGGACCATAGGCCCCAAAAGAACATACCGTTCACTGCACTTCTTTCATCTTAGTTTTGAGAATTGTGTCCATGAACGGAACAAGATTACCATTAATATCACAGTGAAGTGACCAGAGGCCACCAGAGAAGATACAGATCCCTTCGTCTCCTCGGAGTAAATGATGAGAAATGTGTCCATGAAAAGAACAAGCTCAGCATAAATAAACAATAACCTCCGAGACAGCGCTACATACACAATTACATAATCCTCATACTGTATGTAAAACGTCCTCAATATCCATTTAGTGTTGTGGAACTTCAGTCAGAACACGCTCTTACGGTGAACAAAAAAATAGTTTATTCACATCATACAGATTCATGGACCATTCCAGGGGAGGATTGGCCACAATTGCTCTTTTACAACAGTTATTTATACTGTGTAGGAGGCACAAATGTGATTGGTCAGTTAGATGCTAGCAGCTTGCCACCATATCTAATTTGGAATAAATGACTGTCAAGGTCCTACCTTTTCCCTGAGGTTATGTTACTCCATGTGCTGGCGTCCATCTTGGATTCTGCTGTGCATGATGGGAATCCTTTTATGCCTTCAGGTCTCTGTGGTCCATCCCCCAGAGGGGTGTGGCTGATGACATATAAGCCTGTGGCCTGCACATGCTCTTTGCACTTGTGTCTTGTGTCTTTGTGTTGCTATTACTCTGTTCTGACTTCGTGACTCTCCTGGTATCTGATTCGGCTTGTGACTTGACTATTCTTTGTATTCTCCCTTTATCTGACCCTCTGTTGCTGAACCCGGCTCGTGACCTGTGATTCTCGTCTGCTGTCCTGTACTGTTTTGTCCTGTTGTTGTTGACCCGGCTTGTCTGACTACGCTTTTGTCTCTTCCACCAGCTACACGCCATTGGTGGCGGCCATTACCGCAGCTGAGGTGTCTCGGGGGCCGCGACCTGGTTCCTGGCTGCGTCAAGTCCATCCCCACCATCAGGGGCCCTGGTGAAGGGCAGCCTGGGACTTAGACTCCGCGCCCTGAGGGACTTCGGTCTGTGGGTAGTGGTTGTCGTCAGCCAGTGCGTTACATTGTTAGGCCTGCCTGTCCGTTCCTCGTCCCCTGCCCTGACAATGACCAAGTATGGCAAGTCACATTATAACTAGACCATAAACAAGGTGCAGGGCAACCATTGACATCTGTTCCCATGGTCATGTCATAAAACATTCTTAGCTTGCTTGCTCTAGATACTTAAAAAAGGTTCTGATGGGTCCACGACCCAAGTTTGAACCATAACGTTTAAAGCAGCAGTTACAGTGTAGCTACGTATTTATTTGATCTAAGGCCAATTTCCTTGACATTTCCTCCTTTTGTTTGTAAAGCAAACATCAATTATTCATACAACAATTGTGTTTTTCCTGTGGGCCTTAGTTATCTCAAAGAGTTCTCCACAATTTACAAAAGTTCTGGTTCTGGCAACTTTCTTCTATGGGAGGACATACCTTCTTACTCCCCAAAGTCCTGCAAAGAAGGAGCCCAGTTGCCAGAGAGGATATTCATTTATCACATAATCAAAAATAAATTTTCCAAACAGTGAGTTTATCTACTCAACCCAAAGGACTTTCCCCAGTAAAAAAAACATTTTCCTAGCCTTTCATTAATGCAATCCTCTAACTGAGCATTCAGTAAAATATGTAGGATTGGGGTAAGGCCAGTTTCTCCAGAAATGTGAAATGTTCCTACTACAAAAAACATCCCAAGAGAGAGAGTCCAGCTATTTAAAGTTCAAAGAATCACGTTTGATGAAAGTCCACTTTTGCAGGAAAATGGCTACACACCTAACCGATAGTCCGAGCTCATATCTAATAGCTCCAAAGCCGTGTTGTTCCACAAAGCTTGAGAAGCATCTGGAGACTGTAGCAAGGTAAGACATCCATTCTTTGCTCGATGGAAGGCCCGCTCGAGACAGGGCAACGTGAAATAGAAATGGGCAGCTGGGCTTAAGCAATTTTGTCAGGCTAAAAGGCAGTAGATAAGCAGCAGCAACAACAATTTTCTCGTTGGATGGCCCCATTTAGCTCAGCTTGTTTTACCGAACAGTGAAATTTCCTTTAGTCAGTTGACCAAATCGCAGAAACCGCCTGAAGACTGTCATCTCAGAAGGGGTAAAACGTTTCCACAATGGGAGGTGTGAATCCAGATGGGCTTACTTTCACCCTTGACGTAGCAGTAGTCATCAAGACCTGTCAAGGTTCTTCCCAAATGAGGCTGCAGAGGCTCGGCAAAGTGCTGCTTGACCATTTCTCAGTCTTGGTACTCAGACAGCGTTGAATGTCATAGAATGTCTCTTAGCTCAGCAGCTGGCAAAATACTTGGGAATGCAGGTCAGTCAGTGCATGACACAAATGCATTACAAGTCCACTCAAAAGTTCCAAAGATGTCAGTTATGAGGAAGTCAAAGTTCAGTCTCTGGTGCTTTATCAAAAAGCTAACTCAAAAGTAAAGAAAGGCTTCCCAGGTGTGTGCCTGATTAGTGTTCCCCTCAGTGCATCCGTCTATTTTCATTCCTGCAGATTTAGCAACTTAATCTTTTCAAAGCAGCAATATACTATCTGTCAACTTTCTCACAATCCTGGAGGGGACAACACATTTGGGGAAATACATAGCAGCATGTCTCCCTAGTAAAACACACACAGCATATGATGTAAAACAGCACACAGTTAACCCTTTGATCACCCTAGATGTTAACCCCTTCCTGCCCAGTGTCATTAGTACAGTGTCAGTGCTTTTTATTAGCACTGATCACTGTATTAGCGTCATTGGGAAGTCAGTGGCAGTTAGTCAGTTCCCACCCAGTACTATGTTCCAAAAGGGGGTTATTGGAGGGGGTGCTATCCTGGCATTTTAGGGCCTCCAAAACTGTGATAGGTATTGAGGAAGCGAAATGAGGAAGTTGCGCACCTTCAGGCTTTCAAAGTGGTCATTGGATTTCAGGCTCCTGTATGTGGCTAGGCTCCCAAAAAGTTTCACACATGTGGTATCCTCATACTCGGTAGAAGTAGCAGAATGTATTTTGGGTTGTAATTCCACATATACCCATGGCTTGTGCGAGAAATAAATCATTTAAATGACAGCTTTGTGTAAAAAAAAAATAAAATATAATATATTTTTGTCATTTTCCAAAAACTTGTGAAGAAAAAAATCTTCCATGGACTCAATATGCCTCTCAGCAGATAGCTTAGGGCAGTGGTCGACAAGCCGCGGCTCGCGAGCCACATGCAGCTCTTTACACACATTAATGCGGCTCTTCTGTGTGCCGAGCGCCCGCTCCTCTCCCTCCTCTCGGGCGGCCGCCCCAAAAGTCAGGACTCTGCAGCTAGCCCAGCAATGGGCAAACTACGGCCCGCATACGGCCCGGCGGACCTTTTAATCCGGCCCGCGGAGCGTGGCAAACATTGGCTGTCAGGATGTAGGCGGGGCAGCGAGACGAACTCCTCTCCACCCTGAAGACCGGAACGGCGCGGGAACACGGCGACAGGAACGTGCGGAGCAAAGGTAAGTGAATTGACACAATATGGGGAATGAATTACTATAGGGGGGATGAATTACTATATGGGGGATGAATTACTATATGGGGGATGAATTACTATGGGGGATGAATTACTATGGGGGATGAATTACTATATGAGGGATGAATTACTATGGGGGATGAATTACTATATGGGGATGAATTACTATATGGGGGGTGAATTACTATGGGGGATGAATTACTATATGGGGGATGAATTACTATATGGGGGATGAATTACTATGGGGGATGAATTATTATATGGGGGATGAATTACTATGGGGGATGAATTACTATATGGGGGATGAATTACTATGGGGGATGAATTACTATGGGGGATGAATTACTATATGGGGGGATGTATTTTCAGTTTTAAAAATGTGGCTCTCAAAATAAATTTCAATCGTGGTTTTGGTGAGATTTGGCTCAGTTGAAAAAAAAGGTTGCCCACCACTGGCTTAGGGTGTCTACCAGGGGCGGACTGACCATTTGGAAACTCAGGCATTGCCTGAGGGCCCGGGGTCAGTAGGGGGCCCCATGAGATGCCCCTGGTACCTTTTTCATAGGCTTTTTTGAGTTTGGGCAAGGACATAGGGGCCCCATGATCCCCTATTGCCCGGGGGGCCCCATGAGTTGTCAGTCCACCCCTGGTGTCTACTTTCTGCAAAGGGGTCATTTGGGGGTGTTTGTACTGTCCTGGTATTTTAGCACCTCAAGAAATTTAATGGGCAGTCAGAAAGTAAAAGCTGTGTAAATTCCATTATCTATACTAGAGATGAGCGAAGTATTCAAAAATTCGATTCGGCTGATTCGCCGAATTCGTGGAAAAAATTTGATTCGAGGCGAATATATTCGCTGCGAAATTTAACTTATAAAAAGGGTGTTTCTAGGCTTCAGAGAGCCTTTATATTAGTGCAGAACACTGTACCTTTAATTTAAATGCCCTTGGAGTCTGCTGGGGAAGAGAAATAATACTGTCAGTCAATATGACATGCAGATGAGTGCCGTCGATCTTAGAATCACCGCACACTTCACTCATTTGGGCAGTCACGGGGCCAAAACCAGAGTGTGGAGCCACAGTGTGTGCGGTGGAGGCAGCAGCAATGGGAAGCCATACAGCACCCTATGACAAAATGGAACCCACCAGCAGTGTGAGGAGACCTGAAAGTGGCACATGGCAGAGTGTGGCGATGGAGACAGCAGCAATGGGAGGCCGTACAGGGACCCATGACACACTCTGGACCTGGCAGCAGCATGAGGAGGCGATACAGGGGCCCATGACAGATTACGGGCCTGGCAGCAGCATGAGGAGTCGGTACGGGGGCCCATGGCAGATTACGGGCCTGGCAGCAGCATGAGGAGTCGGTACGGGGGCCCATGGCAGATTACGGGCCTGGCAGCAGCAATGGGAGGCCATACAGCACCCTATGACAAAATGGAACCCACCAGCAGTGTGAGGAGACCTGAAAGTGGCACATGGCAGAGTGTGGCGATGGAGACAGCAGCAATGGGAGGCCGTACAGGGACCCATGACACACTCTGGACCTGGCAGCAGCATGAGGAGGCAGTACAGGGGCCCATGACAGATTACGGGCCTGGCAGCAGCATGAGGAGTCGGTACGGGGGCCCATGGCAGATTACGGGCCTGGCAGCAGCAATGGGAGGCCCGTAATCTGCCAGCACCCTATGACAAAATGGAACCCACCAGCAGCAGTGTGAGGAGACCTGAAAGTGGCACATGGCAGAGTGTGGCGATGGAGACAGCAGCAATGGGAGGCCGTACAGGGACCCATGACACACTCTGGACCTGGCAGCAGCATGAGGAGGCGGTACAGGGGCCCATGACAGATTACGGGCCTGGCAGCAGCATGAGGAGTCGGTACGGGGGCCCATGGCAGATTACGGGCCTGGCAGCAGCAATGGGAGGCCCGTAATCTGCCAGCACCCTATGACAAAATGGAACCCACCAGCAGTGTGAGGAGACCTGAAAGTAGCACATGGCAGAGTGTGGCGATGGAGACAGCAGCAATGGGAGGCCGTACAGGGACCCATGACACACTCTGGACCTGGCAGCAGCATGAGGAGGCGGTACAGGGGCCCATGGCAGATTACGGGCCTGGCAGCAGCAATGGGAGGCCCGTAATCTGCCAGCACCCTATGACAAAATGGAACCCACCAGCAGTGTGAGGAGACCTGAAAGTGGCACATGGCAGAGTGTGGCGATGGAGACAGCAGCAATGGGAGGCCGTACAGGGACCCATGACACACTCTGGACCTGGCAGCAGCATGAGGAGGCGGTACAGGGGCCCATGACAGATTACGGGCCTGGCAGCAGCATGAGGAGTCGGTACGGGGGCCCATGGCAGATTACGGGCTTGGCAGCAGCAATGGGAGGCCCGTAATCTGCCAGCACCCTATGACAAAATGGAACCCACCAGCAGTGTGAGGAGACCTGAAAGTGGCACATGGCAGAGTGTGGCGATGGAGACAGCAGCAATGGGAGGCCGTACAGGGACCCATGACACACTCTGGACCTGGCAGCAGCATGAGGAGGCGGTACAGGGGCCCATGACAGATTACGGGCCTGGGACACAATTCTGTGTCCCTGAGTAACAATTCTGTGTCCCCTGAGTAACAATTCTGTGTCCCTGAGTAACGATTCTGTGTCCCTCAGTAATGATTCTGTATCCCTCAGTAACGATTTTGTGTCCCTGAGTAACAATTCTGTGTCCCTGAGTAACGATTCTGTGTCCCTGAGTAACGATTCTGTGTCCCTGAGTAACAATTCTGTGTCCCTGAGTAACAATTCTGTGTCTGTCCCTGAGTAACGATTGTGTCCCTGAGAAACAATTCTGTGTCCCTGAGTAACAATTCTGTGTCTGTCCCTGAGTAACGATTCTGTGTCCCTGAGTAACGATTCTGTGTCCCTGAGTAACAATTCTGTGTCCCTCAGTAACGATTATGTGTCCCTGAGTAACAATTCTGTGTCCCTGAGTAACAATTCTGTGTCCCTGAGTAACGATTCTGTGTCCCTGAGTAACGATTCTGTGTCCCTCAGTAACGATTATGTGTCCCTGAGTAACAATTCTGTGTCCCTGAGTAACAATTCTGTGTCCCTGAGTAACGATTCTGTGTCCCTGAGTAACAATTCTGTGTCCCTGAGTAACGATTCTGTGTCCCTGAGTAACAATTATGTGTCTGTCCCTGAGTAACGATTCTGTGTCCCTGTAGTCCCTGAGTAACAATTCTGTGTCTGTCCCTGAGTAACAATTCTGTGTCCCTGAGTAACAATTCTGTGTCCCTGAGTAACCTGAGTAACAATTCTGTGTCCCTGAGTAACAATTCTGTGTCTGTCCCTGAGTAACGATTCTGTGTCCCTGAGTAACAATTCTGTGTCCCTGAGTAACAATTCTGTGTCCCTGAGTAACAATTCTGTGTCCCTGAGTAGCGATTCTGTGTCCCTGAGTAACAATTCTGTGTCCCTGAGTAACAATTCTGTGTCTGTCCCTGAGTAACGATTCTGTGTCCCTGAGTAACAATTTTGTGTCCCTGAGTAACAATTCTGTGTCCCTGAGTAACAATTCTGTGTCTGTCCCTGAGTAACGATTCTGTGTCCCTGAGTAACAATTCTGTGTCCCTGAGTAACAATTCTGTGTCTGTCCCTGAGTAACAATTCTGTGTCTGTCCCTGAGTAACAATTCTGTGTCCCTGAGTAACGATTGTGTGTCCCTGAGTAACGATTGTGTGTCCCTGAGTTACGATTGTGTGTCCCTGAGTAACGATTGTGTGTCCCTGAGTAACGATTGTGTGTCCTGAGTAACGATTCTGTGTCCCTCAGTAACGATTCTGTGGCCCTAAAGTCTCTGTGGCCCTAACTCTGTCCCTAATACACAGAGGTCTGTCTCTCTTGAATGACCGGAGGCTAATGGAGAATTCTAAGATGGCTGCGATTTATAGCTCCACCATTACACAGTGCTGGCTGGCTGCTGATTGGCTAATGCGATCACATGTCATGAATGAATGCATTATGGGTCAGCGCGCCTTGTCTGCGCGCCTTCCCAGAGATCCCCGCTCCGTCGCCACACATGTCGCCGCCATTTTTGGAAAAATTCGATTCGCGCATCCGAAGTTGGCTAATCTTCGGATTCGTCGCGAATCGAATAATTCCCAATCTTCGAAACGAATTCCACTTCGCCATGTTCGATCCGCTCATCTCTAATCTATACCATAGTTTGTAGACGCTATAACAATCACACAAAGCAATCAATGTACACTTATTGGGATTTTTTTTAACTAAAAACATGGAGCAGAATACATTTTGTCCTACATTTATGACATAATTTGAGTTTTTTTGGGACATTTTTTATGACAGAAATGAGAAAATATATTGTTTTTTTTCCCAAACTTTTTAAAAACAAATTTTTTGTTTATAGAGCCAAAAATAAAAAGCGCACAGGTGATCAAATACCACCAAAAGAAAGCTCTATTTGTGTGAAAAGAGGACGGTAATTTCATTTATGTACAGCATTGCATGACCGCGCAATTGTCAGTTAAACTATAGCAAAAAATTTTGTAAATTGCAGTATCTATACCATAGTTTGTAGACGCTATAACTTTCACACAAAGCAATCAATATATACGTATTGGGATTTTTTTTTTACAAAAAAACATGGAGCAGAATACATTTTAGCCTAAATTTATGACTAACTTTGAGTTTATTATATGTTTTTTATAACCGAAAATAAAAAATATTCTTTTTCTTCAAATTTTTCAATCTTTTTTTTTGTTTATAGCACAAAAAATAAAAAGTGCACAGGTGATCAAACACCACCGAAAGAAATCTCTATTTGTGTGAAAAAAGGACGTACATTTTGTTTGGGTGCAGCATTGCATGACCGCGCAATTATCATTTGAAATAGTGCAGCGCCGAATAGCAAAAAGAGGTCTGGTCAGGAAGGGGGGTAAATCCTCTGGAGGGCAAGGGGTTAATACAACTAAAAATACAATTGCCCACCTTGTTGGGGTCTGGTCTGTAAGGAGGCTGCACCTGCAGGAAACGGGGTCTTCATATGTAACCATCAGATAAAGCTACCTCATGAGCAGTGCTTGTACAATCTACATAGAAACAAAGTTCCTGTATGCAAAATGTGAAACCGCCTTCCTTTCTAGGAGGAACCCTCGGCAAATAAAACAGACTGTTTTGTACAGAGGAACACACAAGAAAGGACAGTCGACCGGTGAGTGGTCTGATTCGGCGAACAGTGCATCTCATCGGGAGGACAATCCCCATAACCCAGGGAGACAAGGGTGAAAGGCACAATTAGACCAAAGTCATAAGTAGGACTTACCAATAAGGTGAGAGGCTGAAGGTGGTGGTGGGATCTCCACAAGATGGTGGTATTACATTTATCTGTTTTGTGCACTTGGATGAGAAGGACCTAACTATATGGATATTGAGAAGGACATATATATATATATATATATATATATATATATATTGTATATATATATGGATTATGTAATTTTGTATGTAGTGCTGTCCCAGATTTTTTTGTTTATTGGTATACATGTGTGGTGGGATTATATTGGGACATAACATTGAGATGCATTTAGTTTCCATCTAGGAATATTATTGTTTATTTTATTTATTACAAGTGACTATGCAAAGGTTTTTATTTTATTTTACTCATCATAAATATTGCAGCAATAGAGGCCACCAGAGAAGATACAGACCCCTTCTCTCCTCTAGGTAAGTGATGAGAATCACATCTATGAAAGGGATACCTTTAGCTACAGTGCTGTGGAAAAGTTATAGGCAGGTGAGAAGAAAATATTGTAAAGTAAGAATGCTCATCAAAAATATGTATTTTTATTGTTATCAATTTACAAAATGCAAAGTTAGCAAACAGAAGAAAAATCTAAATCATATCAATATTTGTAATAATAAATTAAAAACTCCTAAATTTCCCACTCGAAAAGTTAACCTTTCCACACCCTTGAAAGTGCATAATCCAATAACCTTTTCATAATCTGCAGACAATAACCATAATCCCATACATACAAAAATTAATGTCCATCACAAGTCCCGTATAACCAATCCAAAATTTTTGTAAAGTTCAAAAAACATATAAAATCCAAAAATTATATTGTGCAAACAACACTCCTCACTTCTTCAATCTTCCAAAAAATGTGATAATGTCCAATTCTTCCCTTTACTCCAATATGTACCTCAAAAAAACAAACTCAATATGGTGCATTATCTTTTAGAATCAATAACTGTGATAACATGCAACACACTAGTGACACATCATCACACATGTGAAGTGAAAAACACACAACGCACCACTTAGCTAGTGGTCCTAAGAAACCACCACTGCAAACCGTGATAATCTTCAAGACACACTATGTGATCAGTGACAAATGGTGTCAGATACGTGCCACTCCCACGTGTAGGATAAATACAATTACCCCCTTAATTTAGTGCCACATATAGTTGCCTTCACTGGGGGTATATCATCCTTGACGGTAGTAGACACAGCTTCCTCATACAATGACGGGTACCAGGATCCCCGTTCCTCACAGGACAAAATGGGAGCAGACTCAGTGGAGTAGTACAAATGGTAACAAAATTTATTAATAACAGCTTACATGATAAAATTGCCGTCCATCCGCTCTGCACCTTCCGGCTTAGCGTCTGACGTCACGACCCTGACGCGTTTCGTCACTTCCGACTTTTTCACAAGGGATCCGGAAGGTGCAGAGCGGCCCATTTTGGAAAAGGTCTCAGCAGAATACGGAGACCAGCGAGGATGGACGGCAATTTTATCATGTAAGCTGTTATTAATAAATTTTGTTACCATTTGTACTACTCCACTGAGTCTGCTCCCATTTTGTCCTGTGAGGAACGGGGATCCTGGTACCCGTCATTGTATGAGGAAGCTGTGTCTACTACCGTCAAGGATGATATACCCCCAGTGAAGGCAACTATATGTGGCACTAAATTAAGGGGGTAATTGTATTTATCCTACACGTGGAGTGGCACGTATCTGACACCATTTGTCACTGATCACATAGTGTGTCTTGAAGATTATCACGGTTTGCAGTGGTGGTTTCTTAGGACCACTAGCTAAGTGGTGCGTTGTGTGTTTTTCACTTCACATGTGTGATGATGTGTCACTAGTGTGTTGCATGTTATCACAGTTATTGATTCTAAAAGATAATGCACCATATTGAGTTTGTTTTTTTGAGGTACATATTGGAGTAAAGGGAAGAATTGGACATTATCACATTTTTTTGGAAGATTGAAGAAGTGAGGAGTGTTGTTTGCACAATATAATTTTTGGATTTTATATGTTTTTTGAACTTTACAAATTTTTGGATTGGTTATACGGGACTTGTGATGGACATTAATTTTTGTATGTATGGGATTATGGTTATTGTCTGCAGATTATGAAAAGGTTATTGGCATATCAATATTTGGAGTGGCTGCCCTTTTGGCTTCAAACCAGCATCAATTCATTTCATCAAGCTCTTTTGCAGAAGCACAAAGAAACGGGCAATGTTGAGGAGCATAGACTGGTCAGGATGAATGGTGTCCTCAAAGCTGAGAAATATAGGTAGATACTTATCCATCATGCCATACCATCAGGGAGGTGCACAATTGTTGCCAAATTTATTCTGCAGAAGGACAACAACCCCAAACATACAGTCAGTGTCATTAAGAACTATCTTCAGTGTAAAGAAGAACAAGTAGTCCTGGAAATGATGGCTTGGCTCCCACAGAGCCTTCATCTCACCATCATGGAGTCTTTCTGGGATGACATGAAGACAGAAGGATTTGAGACAGCCTATATCCATACACGATCTGGGCTCAGTTCTCTAAGATGTTCAAAACAACCTACCTACCGTGTGCCTTCAAAAACAAGTGTGCAAGTGTACCTACTGTTTTGAAGGCAAAGGGTGGTCATGCCAAATATTGAATTCATTTGGATTTCTCTTCTGTTCATTTATTTTCCATTTTGTTAATTGCTAAAAATAAACTATTAACACTAGATACTAAACATTAAACTATTCTATTTCTGAAAGCATTCTTCATTCACAGCATTTTTTCACACCAGCCTAAAACTTTTCCAGAGTACTATAAATATTGCAGCAAAGTAACCAGAGCATACCAGAGAAGATGCAGATCACCGTGCTTCCTCCAGGTAATTGATGAGAGTTGTGTCCGTGGATGGAACAGACTTAGCATTTTGTAGAAAGGGGATCAGAGACCACCAGAGACGATCACTGCGTCTCCTCCAGGTAAGTGATGAGAATCGTGTCCATAAAAATGACAAGCCAAACTAAATATTATAGCCAAGTGTCCAGAGACCACCCCTAGAAGGTGTAGATCACCATGTCTCCTCCCGGTAAGTGATGAAAATGACATCTATGAAAGCAAGCTTAGAATAAATATTGCAGCCAATGGGTCCAAGGATTTCATCCCAATAGCTATTGGCAGTCAGGGTGTCATTGTCTAGCATGAAGAGGTCTGTGTGTCCCTCCATGGACATGCCTCCCCAGACCATCACTGACCCACCACCATACGGTCATGCTGAACCATGTTACAGGCAGCAGAACATTCTCCACGGCTTCTCCAGACCCTTTCATGTCTGTCACATGTGCTCAGGGTGAACCTGCTCTCATCTGTGAAAAGCACAGGGTGCCGGTGGTGGACCTGCCAATTCTGGGGTTCAATGGCAAATGCCAATCGCGCTCTATGGTGCCAGGCAGTGAGCACAGGGCCCACTAGAAGACGTCGGGCCTTCAGGCCACCCTCATGAAGTCTGTTTCAGATTGTTTGGTCAGAGACATTCACACCAGTGGTAGCCTGCTGGAGGTCATTTTGTAGGGCTCTGGTAGTGCTCATCCTGTTCCTCCTTGCACAAAGGAGCAGATATCGGTCCTGATGATGGGTTAAGGACCTTCTACGACCCTGTCCAGCTCTTCTAGTGTAACTGACTGTCTCCTGGAATCTCCTTCATGCTCTTGAGACTGTGCTGGGAGACACAGCAAACCTTCTGGCAATGGCACGTATTGATGTGCCATCCTGGAGGAGTTGGACCGCCTGTGCAACCTCTGTAGGGTCCAGGTATGGCCTCATGCTACCAGTAGTAACACTAACCCTAGCCAAATGCAAAACTAGTGAAAAACAGTCAGAAAAGATGAGTAGGGAAAAAAATGTCAGTGGCCTCCACCTGTAAAACCATTCCTGTTTTGGGAATCATCTCATTGTTGCCCATCTAGAGCACCTGTTGTTAATTTTGTTAACACCAAAGCAAATGGAATTGATTAACAACCCCCTCTGCTACTTACCTGACCAGATCCATATCCCAGGAGTTTAGATGACTTAATGCTAGACTCTGATTAAAAAGTGTTCCTTTAATTTTTTTGAGCAGTGTATAAAAAAAAACGTAAATTTATTTTATTGGGATCTTCTGTGATAGACCAACACAAAGTGGCACATAATTGTGAAGAGGAAGGGAAATGAAAAATGGTTTTCAACATTTTTTACAATTAAATATCTGAAAAGTGTGGCGTGCATTTGTATTCAGCCCCCTTTACTCTGATACCCCTAACTAAAATCTAGTGGAACCAATTGCTTTCAGAAGTCACCTAATTAGTAAATAGAGTCCGCCTGTGTGTAATATAATCTCAGTATAAATCCAGCTGTTCTGTGAAGCCCTCAGATGTTTGTTAGAGAACATTAGTGAACAAACAGCATCATGAAGGCCAAGGAACACACCAGACAGGTCAGGGATAATGTTGTGGAGAAGTTTATAGCTGGGTCTCTCTCTCTCTTAGTTACCTGGGTTAACATCTCGGGGTAATCAAGGGGTTAAGTGTGCACCTGACAAGTGTTGATGTGTGTAATATGTGCTGCTTTTTATGAAAGATCACATCAGATGCCCCCCATCACATCATACGCCCTTCCTTCACATCAGATGCCCCCCATCACATCATAAGCCCTTCCTTCACATCAGATGCCCCTCATCACATCATAAGTCCTTCCTTCACATCAGATGCCCCCCATCACATCATAAGCCCTTCCTTCACATCAGATGCCCCTCATCATATCATACGTCCTTCCTTCACATCAGAAGCCCCCCATCACATCATAAGCCCTTCCTTCACATCAGAAGCCCCCCATCATATCATAAGCCCTTCTTTCACATCAGATGCCCCCCATCACATCATAAGTCCTTCATTCACATCAAAAGCCCCCCATCTCATCATAAGTCCTTCCTTCACACCAGATGCCCCCCATCACATCATAAGTCCTTCCTTCACATCAAAAGCCCCCCATCACATCATAAGCCCTTCCTTCACATCAGAAGCCCCCATCACATCATAGTCCTCTTACATCTGGGCCCCATCAGAGCCCCTCTTACATCAGTGTCGCCATCACAAAGAGAGACCAGTTGATCTGAATCCCCAGTCTGTTCACTGATGTAAGGAAATGCCACTGACCCCGGCCACAAATAAAATCTTGTAGTGGGCCACATGTGGGCTGTGGGCTGTAGTTTGGAGACCCCTGATCCACAGAATTGTTACACGTAGCTCAGTGCAGCAATTATTGTAGAATGATCATACAATTCATCATTTTCTTTGTTCTGCAGGTTATTGTCAGAATGAGATTCTCTGCGGGTGTACTCCTTTATCTCTGCCTGATATTTGGGATTGGATGGACTCATAAGGTATGTAGATGGAAGTAAATGGTCACCGAAGTGTAATCTACCATAATTGCTTGTGATTCAGCGGTTTGTTTTCAGATAATAATGGATGGAAGGTATATTCAGTGCCTGGCCAAGGTCATCTACAGCCCAGGGCAAACATACCGAATTGTGCCCCCTGCAAGGGGTATGAGCATTATACTGTCAGCAAAAATCCCCCCCCCAAAAAAAATCCAGCACTTATCTGCATGCTTACCCTCTAAGCATAAATCCCTCCTCCCAGCACAAATCTTTGTTCTGCCATCCCCCCATCTCAAATCTTTTCTCCCTTCATATTCCAAGTGCAAACCCCCTCCCCCGCAAAAAAAAATTTCCCCCTCCTTCCACAAATCCTCAACCCCTCAAATTTCCCCTCCAAGCTCAAATGTCCTCCTCAGTCCCAAAATTTCCCCTCTCGGCACAAATTCCCCTCCCCCAATTTTCTTTCCTAGCATGAATACCCCCCAATCATCCCTACTAGTACAAATGCACAACCCCTCCCACAAAAAAAACAAAATCCTTCCCCCCTCTACCATATCATCTTTTCTAGCACAAGCCACCCAAATCCTCCCTCCTGCACAAATCCTCTTCCCCCCTCCCAACACAAATCCCCCCAAATCACCACTCCTAGCACACTTCCCCAAATTGCCTCTTCTAGAACTATTCTTAACCCATGCTGCCCCCCAAATTCCCCCTCACAACACAAATACCCCTCCCCCAATCTCTTTCTGGTAGACCCCCCTACCACAGTGCCTGAGGCAGCTTCCCCTCCTGCCCACCCCTTGTCCCGGCCCTGGGTATACAAGCCTTAGTGTAATGTACAGCTGATAAATGACCTTCTAGTTCTGTCTGCAATTGGCTGACAGAGCTGCACCAAACAAAAGGTGTCCAAAGTCTTACATTACATTTTCTTTATAAAGCAGCCCCAGCAAATGTAGAGAAGCCTGTCCCCTGCCAGCATGCTGTTGAGAAGTACCGCTTTTCTCTTTGTGGAAGCAGTAGTCTCTCTGCAGAGGTTAGACACACACCCCGTTTAAGTCAGAACTATAGTTGTGCAATAAATAAAATGCTCCCTGATGGTCGGAGATCTGTAGCTCTGTCTCTGGCAAGAGGCGTGTTGGACCTCTGCAGAGAGACCACTGCTTTCACACAGAAATCAAGGGGCCTTCTCTGCAGCATACTGGCAGGGGACAGAGTTTTTTGTGAAGGATGTGGCTGCTTTCCAAAGAAAACCAACTGTAAGACTTCAGCCACCTTTTGTTTTGGTGCACCTGGAATGTAGTTTGCTGATATAAAGTAATGTTTCAACGGGACTTTAAAACTCATGTAACAGGGCAGTGAACAGAGACATCCAAAGAGAAGGGGAGGAGTCACTGTGTACATTTCAGCTTGAGCTATTGAGCTCAGCAACCAATAGGGGAGCCTGAAAAATGCAAAAAGGAGCTGAAAGCTCAATTTGCTTTCCTGCATTTGAAAATACAAAGTAGTTACATACAATACTCAGATTTACCTGATTAGAAACATTAAAGTTGTATTTTTAAATTGTGACCCTAAGTAAGGAAACTTAGCATGTATAAAAAACTGTATATTCCCTTTAGTAAGGAGGGGGGGCAAAGCAAGGCTGGCAACCTGAAGACCAGTGTTGACAGGCTTCAGACTTGTGTCGATGTCATCAGTTTGAGATGCATTTGAGATCTTCTGACCTGCTTGCATCCCCATAGACTTGTATGGGAAGCGAACAAAAGTCCGTTGATTCAGGACCTTACAGGTGAAACTTGAAAAATTAGAATATGGTGCAAAAGTTCATTTATTTCAGTAATGCAACTTATAAGGTGAAACTAATATATGAGATAGACTCATTACATGCAAAGCAACATAGTTCAAGCCGTGATTTGTCATAATTGTGATGATTATGGCTTACAGCTCATGAAAACCCCAAATCCACAATCTCAGAAAATGAGAATATTACATGCAATCAATAAAACAAGGATTGTACATAGAACAATATTGGACCTCTGAAAAGTAGAAGCATGCATATGTACTCAGTACTTGGTTTGGGCCCCTTTTGCAGCAATTACTGCCTCAATGGGCGTGGCATGGAAGCTATCAGTCTGTGGCGCTGCTGAGGTGTTATGGAAGACCAGGATGCTTCAATAGCGGCCTTCAGCTCTTCTGCATTGTAAGGTCTCATGTCTCTCATCTTTCTCTTGGCAATGCCCCATAGATTCTCTATGGGGTTCAGGTCAGATGAGTTTGCTGGCCAATCAAGCACAGTAATCCCACGGTCATTGAACCAGGTTTTGGTGCTTTTGGCAGTGTGGGCCGGTGCCAGGTCCTGCTGGAAAATTAAGTCAGCATCCCCATAAAGCTCGTCTGTGGAAGGAAGCATGAAGTGCTCCAAAATCTCCTGGTAGATGGCTGCGTTGACCCTGGACTTAATGAAGCACAGTGGACCAACACCAGCAGATGACATGGCTCCCCAAATCAACAGAGACTGTGGAAACCTCACACTGGACTTCAAGCATCTTGCAGTGTGTGCCTCTCCATTCTTCCTCCATACTCGGGGTCCTTGGGCCTCTCCATTCTTCCTCCATACTTGGTGTCCTTGGGCCTCTCCATTCTTCCTCCATACTCGGGGTCCTTGGGCCTCTCCATTCTTTCTCCATACTTGGGGTCCTTGGGCCTCTCCATTCTTTCTCCATACTCGGGGTCCTTGGGCCTCTCCATTCTTCCTCCATACTCGGGGTCCTTGGGCCTCTCCATTCTTCCTCCATACTTGGGGTCCTTGAGCCTCTCCATTCTTCCTCCATACTCGGGGTCCTTGGGCCTCTCCATTCTTCCTCCATACTCGGGGTCCTTGGGCCTCTCCATTCTTCCTCCATACTCGGGGTCCTTGAGCCTCTCCATTCTTCCTCCATACTCGGGGTCCTTGGGCCTCTCCATTCTTCCTCCATACTTGGGGTCCTTGGGCCTCTCCATTCTTCCTCCATACTCGGGGTCCTTGTGTCTCTCCATTCTTCCTCCATACTCGGGGTCCTTGTGCCTCTCCATTCTTCCTCCATACTCTGGGTCCTTGGGTCTCTCCATTCTTCCTCCATACTCGGGGTCCTTGGTTTCCAAATGAGATGCAAAAGTTGCTCTGATCAGAAAAGAGGACTTTGGACCACTGAGCAACAGACCAGGTCTGTTTTTCTTTAGCCCAGGAAAGACGCTTCTGACGTTGTTTGTTGTTCAGGAGCGGCTTGACAAGAGGAATCGACATTTGAAGCCCATGTCCAGGATCCGTCTCTGTGTGGTGGCTCTTGATGCACTGACTCCAGCCTCAGTCCACTCCTTGTGAAAGTCCCCAACACTTTTGAATGGCCTTTTCCTGACAATCCTCTCCAGACTGCGGTCATCCCTGCTGCTTGTGCACCTTTTTCTTCCACACTTTTCCCTTCCACATAACTTTCTATTAATGTGCTTTGATACAGCACTTTGGGAACATCCAACTTCTTCTGCAATTCCCTTTTGAGGCTTTTCCTCCTTATGGAGGGTGTCAGTGATGGTGTCAGGTCAGCAGTCTTTCCCATGATTGTGATTCCTACTGAACCAGACTGAGAGACCATTTAAAGGCTCAGGAACCCTTTGCAGGTGTTATGGCTTAATTAGCTGATTAGAGTGGGACACTTTGAGCCGAGAATATTCCACCTTTTCACAATATTCTCATTTTCTGAGATTGTGGATTTGGGGTTTTCATGAGCTGTAAGCCATAATCATCACAATGATGACAAATCACAGGTTGAACTATCTTGCTTTGCATGTAATGAGTCTATCTCATATATTAGTTTCACCTTTTAAGTTGCTGCACTGAAATAAATGAATTTTTGCACCATATTCTAATTATTCGAGTTTCACCTGTATATCTCCATCACAGATATGCAAAAACAGAGACCAGTTAGTCATCACATTACTGGGCAATGGGAGGGAAGCTGAGAACATGGGAGAAACTCACAAAGATACAAGAAGAACATACAGATTCCATGAAGGTACCATTCCTGGTAGAAGTGGAACCCAGGACAACATCATTGTAAACCCACCATGCCATCTACTAATCTGCTGTGATGGAGCGTGTATGTTCTCTCGTTCTTGTGGAGGTTCCTCATGGGTACTTTGATTACTTTCCAAAAAAAAAAAATACTGGTAGGTCAACTGACTTCTGAATAATCTGACCCAGAATTCTGTATGTGCATGTATGACTGTAGTATGACCACAGCGGAGTTCTTCTGATCGTTGCAGGAAATCACTCTAAATATGAATGTCAACGCATTTGATGATCAGTACGAAGGCTGCACAGAACAGATGGAAAGTGAAATAATAAATTCCCCTACTTGCTAAAGAAAAATGGGCTGACTCAAACTTTAGTAGAACTTGGGATGCGGCAAAAGAGAAGTGGAACAAAGAGAAACCGAGTGTACCAGACGGCTTTCGGGATGAGTACGGCATTGCCATTATGGCTTATTCCAACAACCAGACCAATCTTTTTTCTAGCTTCAACAATGCAGTGAGAAATTATAGCAGTAGGGCCACGTTCCGTTACCATTCTCTTCACTTCTTCTTGACGCGAGCTGTAGTGCTCCTTAGGTCGAGTTGTTGGTGGTCACCATGGAAGGTATACAGAGGGATGAGAGGCATATCTTTTAAGTATGAAAGAATCGGGGGAGAAGTCAGATTCGGTCAGTTTTCCTCTTCATCCACCAACCAAACAGTAGCAAAGGACTTTGGAGATGACACGTTCTTCACCTTCACCAGCTGCTTCGGTGTCGACATCAAAAAGTATTCCTATTATCCAAAGCAAGAGGAGGTTCTGATACCAGTAGACGAGGTTTTCCAAGTGACTGACTTTACAACGCAGGGAGGTAAAGAAAGATTTGTCCTTAAAACCACAAAGAGCAGATGTCACTACTACAATTGTGACTACCTATATAATGGTTAGTAAACTTTACTTATTTGACTTACTTGTTTGGTTTGGGCTTTAGTTGTCGGTCTGACTAAATATACACAAGAAATTCAAACTTAAAGTGGTTGTAAACCTCAGACATGAAATATGAACTAAGCATTTCCCTCCATAGTGTGTACTTGTCTCAATCCAGACCAAGTGTAGTTTCTGTTTGCTGCCTCCTTCCTCTGCATTCAGCATGAGTCATTTCTGACAAGTTTTCCTGACACCAAGAGAAAAATGGTGACAAGGGAGGGAGCTCCAGCAAATTGACAGCCTCAGCTCATTTCCTGTGTGCTGTGTGGAGGGGGGATGTGTCCAGGGTGTATTTACCGCCAGGCAAAAAGGCGTCTGCCTTGGGCAGCATTTTTCAGGGGCCGGCGTCGCCCCCCCAGCAGAAGTGCCACTCTTGTGGCAATGGCACACAGGAGCCGTTATATTTGCAGGCTTGCAGCAGTCTCCACTACATGGAACCCGAACCACGAGAGGACGGTGGTCGCTGGATCTGAAGGCCACACACAGGCCGGAGCTGGTAGAGAGGAGGAGCCGAGCAACCGGATGAGGAAGGAGCCTCCGCTGATCGTTGAGTGCTGCCCGAGAGCGGCCAGAGCTTGGCTTCTCTCCATTGTCTGTGTGGAATTCTGGGGAAAGCAGAGTGGAGGGTGCTGGCTGTGGCTGGGAGAGGGATGGGGGAGGGGAGATGCTGGCTGGAGATGAGGGGGGAAAGGCAGCACAAAGCAAAATAGGCCATTGTGTGTGTCGCTTCCCTCCAATCAGCTCTAAGAGTTTTCCTCACTGGCCTCTGCAGAGTGTAAGCCAGCTGTCCGCCCTGTTTTCTGAACTCCCAGGCAAGCTTTATAAATTCAGCACTTTGAAGGGATGTAGAGAAGAGAAGACTGCAGATAAACAGGTACAACTTATGTAGGAGGATTTGTTTCGTCTGTGTATCACCTGAGTCAAGTCACTTCACTGGAAACATGTAAGGGTTCACAGCCACTTTAACATGAGAAAAAACACCATAGAAATGACCTACAGTAATGAATTCTATACAGTAAGTACATAGATTGTCAGGCTGAAAAAGACACAAGTCCATTGAGCTTGACCAATAGTAAAATTAATAAAAAAAACCCTGCAATTTACAAAGAAATAAACCCGCAGTTGATCCAGAGGAAAATAAAACTTACTTCAACAGGGTCCCAGTTTAGACCCCTGATATCTCACCACAAACCCCCGCTACAGTACATAAATAAAAATAACAACAAAAACAACACAAAAGTAGCAAGAAAAGTAAAAACTAATTTTAAAAATATAAAAAATAATCTAAAAAAAATTGTAAAATATGATTTTTCAAAATTCTAAGACAATAATAAAGATTTGTAAAAAAAATAATTTTAAAATATTGTAAAAAATAATTTAAAAAAATGAAGGGCTCATTTACACGGGCTCTCTGGCCCATACAAAGTGAATGAGCTGTCTGTGTGGCGGGAACCTTCTGTTACTCTGTTAGGAGTAGGTGTGTGAGTATCCCTGAATACACTGTCCATACACATGTTTGTGTCCGCTGATAATGATTTCAATGTATTTTTAACCGCTTAAGGAATACCCTATAGCAAATATACTGCACACAGGGCAGCCCCTGTGTGCAAAATCACACTCATATATATATACTGTATATATACCTAATTTAGCATTTTCGGGTAGTGGGCGCACGCGCCCTACTCGTGCTGCCATTTGCGGCTGCAGGTGTCAATCACCGGGTCCCGGAAGGTGATTACCCACTGGCACCCAGTGATTACCGGCGATCACCGATAGGGAGGAGGGCTGCTTTGTTTACTAACAGTCCTCCCTGTCAGTTTGGGGACACTGCTCGGGATGGCTGAGCACAGCCATCCCGGTCAGTGTGCTTACAGTGAAGCACCCCCCCACCCCCCCTAGTAAAACACTCCCATCACACAGTTGACCCTTTGATCGCCCCTCATGTTAACCCCTTCCTCCTCAGTGCCATTAGTACAGCATCAGAGCTTTTTGTTAGCACTGTTCAGTGTATTGTTGTCACTGGGGATGTCAGTGACACCAAGTCAGTTCCGTTTAGTGTCAGAATGCCCGCCGCAGTCCTGCAGTACTGCTATAGGTCGCTGATCATCGCCATAAGTCGCTGAATGATCGCCACCATAAACCGCTGATCGCCACCATTATTAGTATTAAAAAAATCCCAGTATCTATACTGCCATTTGTACACACTATAACGTTCACATAAACCAATTAATTTACACTAATTGGGATTTTTTGTTAGCAAAGACATGTCGCAGAATACATTTTGGCTGAAATTTATTATGAAATTTGATTTTTGAAAATTTTTTTTGGACATGTTTAATAGCAGAAAGTCCAAAATATTGTTTTTTTTTCTCAGAATTGTCAGACTTTTTTTATAGCACAAAAAATAAAACACACAGGTGTTCAAATATCAGCAAATGAAAGCTCAATTCATGGGAAAAAAGGGACGTAAATTTCATTTGGGTGCAGTGTTGCATGACCGCGCAACTGTCAGTTAAAGTAACGCAGCGAGGTAACACACCGCTTCTGTAACCGCTTCCTGACCGCCCTATAGCAGAAATACTGCTACAGGGTGGCACGGGTGTGCAAAACCACGTGTATATATATACGTGATTCGCGCTCCCGTGGATTTCACACCCCTCCTAGATAGCGTCAGATTGCCCGTCAGTACACCAGTCATCACATTTAACCCCTTGATTGCCAGGAGCACGCCCATGTACAATAAACCTCCATTGCTAGTATAGTGTCTGAACGGATCAATATCTTTGATCAGATTAGCACTATACCAGCGTTCACATTAGTATAGCGTCCCCAAAAATGCAGCATTAGCGGGATCAGCCCCGGCACCTGCCAGCACCTGTGTTTAGCCCCTACGCTTACCCCCCCCTTCTCCCCCAGCAAGTGCAGTGTCAGTAGGTCCCTGTCACTTGATATATTGCACACAAAACCGCAGTGTTCTCAGAATCAGGCCTGATCTCTGTTAGCACTTGCCGGTAAACTTTGATGACTCTCATATACAGCAGAGTGCCAGTACTAGTGCCGCTCTACTTTCTGGTGAGCACTAGCGGCCTAGTACATCCTGGTCTTTCACATACCAGCACTGCAGTATCACTTGGTGACGTGGTGAGTCCCATAAGTGCAGTACAAGCCGGTGTGGTGGCGAGCACATGTATTGTCCTGCAGCCACCATGAATTTGCACACAGGCCCGTAGAGGCCCTAGTATCCTTCCGGATGTGCTTGCAAATCCCAATTGGCAGCCCACAAATTCTGCAGAACCCGTACTTCTCCCATTCACTTCCCAACCCAGAATTCAGGTGGAAACAGCAAATTTAACTCCTCCCCTTGATTTTTTGGAGCTTTTTTTCATGGAAGATATGTATGCATTGATTGTGGATCAAAGTAATGTATATGTACAACAATTTATAGCCGCCAACCCAAATTCAAACCTTGCCAGACCAGTTTGCATGGAAACTCATTACGGTTTTCGAATTTTAATTTTTTGGGGGCCTAACCCTCAACATGGGCATTACTAAAAAAATGAATTGCGGTTGTATTTTTTTTTTTTTTTAATTTAAATATTTATTGAATTTTTCATGTTAATACAAGTACCAAAAAAGGGAAATAATTCTCATACAAATAGACATTTATAACATTTCTATCTTTCCCTTACTAAAAACTCTTTTCTTCCCCATCCCACTACCCCCCCCCTTCCCGCCCCTCATCCCCCTCCTCCCCCTCTGCAGACTCTAGCCCTTTCTAGTCACTTGAGGCTTATTAATTTTTTTTTTTCTAACATCCTAGTTCATATTTTCCTATATTTCTCTTTCAATCCTGCTCTTTCCCACTTCTCCCTTCTCCTAAAATAAACTCTCA